CTATTTTCTATCTCTAGATTTGTCTGTTCTGAACATTTCATATAAATGGAGTCATGTGATCTTCTGCATTTGGCTTCTTTCACTTAGCATAATATTTTTGAGCTTCACTGAAGTTGTGACATGTGTCAGTAGTTCATTTCTATTGTTGAGTAGTATTCTAGTGTATGGACTTTACCATTTATTTTTAGTTTTTAAATTTTTTAATTTATTTTTTTGGTACTGGGAATCGAACTCAGGACCTTGTGCTTACCAGGCAGGTGCTTATGCCACTGAACTATATCCCTGGCCCATTTATTTTGTTTATCATTTCAGGATTTGATGGCCATTTATGTTCATTTTTTGGATATTATAAGTAATGTTGATATGACTGCATATCTTTGTGTTTATGTATGTTTTCACTTACCTTGTATAAATATCGATTAGCTGTTCTTACCAAACACTCAAGCCAAACAGATATGGAGTAGAGGTGTCAAACGTTAGGTCAGCAAAGTAGTCACTCCAGCAGTCTCTGTTACTGCTGCTGCTGAGGTAGAACGGTGGTGCATCTGTAGATGTGTAGGGGTGAGTTTCCTCTCAAGGGGGCATTCAGTTGAAGGAAATGCTGTTTTGAGATTAAAAATTTGTTACTACCAGTGATACTGATAGATTTATGGTTTGTACAGTGTTCTAACATGTATTTTTAAAACATGCTATATGCTAGGGGTTCTTTGTATTTTAATTTGAATTTTCAGTTAGGAAAATTTCAGGTACTCAAAAAAGTATATGAGATTCTCATATGTATATTTAACCTTCACAATTAAACAGATGTTAATATTTTCTTATACTTATTTTGGACTTTCTCTCCGTCTCTCTCTTTCACTAAAGAAATAAAATATTTCCGATATAGCCTACTTCCTTGGCCCATCCGTTCCCTAGATAGTGTCCTAAAGTTTGTGCATGTCATTTCTATATATACTTTTGTACATTTACAGCACATGAGGTATCATAAACCATATGTGCTGATGTGTGCATGTTTTATATTTCAGATAGTAACTTTTATATATCCTGCTTCTTTTAAGACTTAAATGTGTTTTTCAGGTCTATCCATTATGATGAAGGGAGGCTTGATTTGTTCATTTTAACTAACTTATGTAGAATATAATGTGAGTGGTGCCCCCCCGCATAATGGAGTAATAGAGCTATTTGTAGTATATTACTTAGTTGTATAAAAAAAAGCCCTCATTGCTATAGAGAATATCCTATGTGAAAGTGAGGGTTTTTTTGGATAGTATTTGGACTGGAATTGCTAGGTTGTAGACTTTCCTTCAACTTATTTTGCTAAATTACTCTCAGAAGGACTGTATGACCTACAGTATTTTGTTCGGTAAAATTACTGTTAGATATAATATGTGTTTACTTGTTTGTTTGCTGTCTGATCACCATACTAGGAGTAACTTAAGAATGGCAAGGATATCATCTCTTCTGTTCTTTAGAATAGGCACTTAATAAATATTTGTTAAGTGATTGGATTAGCTCATAATCTTCTCAAACCCATGAGGTTGGTAGAACAGACAAATAGGCTGTGCTATTTTCTTAGACCCCTTGTTCAGATGAGGAAACTAAAAGAGAGTCCAACTGACTTCTTCAGGTCGCATATCCAGATAGTAAAATAGGATTCCTTGTCTTAGTTTTATCCAAGCCTATTTTTATCTATTTTAAGTGTTAGGATTTATAATTTTTCTAAATGATATCATCAGTTTTTTATAGTCATACTGTAACAGAATCAGTTTTTCAGCTTTCATGTTTATTAAATGTAGTATAGCTCTAGCATCCTGATATTTAGAAAAAATTCAAAGAGTTCAGATAAAGGGTAGTTCTAGCTGTCTAGACTTGAGGTCTACATTTTTGTGTACTTTATGGCATTATGCTTTGTATATTAGATGAGGCATTGTTCATGTTTGTGGAATGAATGAATGAGCTCTTTCATTAATGAATGTCTGTCTCTATGGGGAAACTATGGGCAGAAAACAGTTAAACTGGAAAAAACCAAAGGAGAAGATACCAAGAATAGGTATACTCCCAATGCCTGCTTTACAAGAAGGCAGTAGGGCCCAGACTAATTGAGAAAATGGTCACAGGGACAGCAGCTCCTAAGAAGCACAAACATTCAGGCTTTGGGTCATGGAACATACCTCCTTTCCTTAGGCACTCATAAGGAAAGAGTATATTGGGATCCCCATCTAGCCTGAGGATGTTTGATAGCTTTTAGCTCTGGAAGCAAATGGGAAGAAAAGGGATTTACTGTAGATCAGGCACTGAACCAAGTACTTTATAGACATTATTTCATTAGTTTTGTCTACAATCCCATTAAGTAGGTGCTGGTGTCCACATTTCACAGGTAAGGAGATTGAATCACCTAGTAAATTAGTTAAGCTACTTAGTTTGTAAGTTAACTGAGCTTGGAATTTGAACCTAGTGACACTCTACTAAAATCTCTGCTTTTATCCTAAATTACTTTTTTCTCTGGGGCAGGAGGAAACAGAGGCCTGATGGGTCTGACGTATATAGAGATTTAAAAAGGAAAAATATCCACAGAGGTAAATGTGCTAGGTTCCGTGAAGCTTCTCAGAGAAACCCTACAGCAGTAGAAGTCATGTTAAGCAGCTGCTTCTCTTGCCCAAAGTTGAGTAGTTTCAGGTATTTGGGGTTTTTGTATTTTTATTAATAAAATTCAAGCTCAAGCCTTAGGACAAGCAACTTAAAAGTTCCCAGCTTTTTCACTGGAGGACAGAAGGCCTGGGAGCTGCTAAGAGAACTCCATGCTGTAATGTTAGAATTTTTGCTGGTTAAATGATATGCTGTCGTCTGAATTCCCCATGCCCTCTTCTCTTGTTTCGTGTTGCGCTTTTTGACAGCCATAAGATGGTGCTGCAGCTTTGTATTTGGCCTCAGGGAAAGCTGAGGGGAGATGCCTACTGCATTTACAAGGCAGGTGGGAGCCTTCAGAGGGGCTCATACTTTGGGACTTCTTACTGCTTTCCTTCTGTGGAGGGCATGTTGTAGGTCCCCAGGAAAGGTGGGTAGAGCTGTGCTACTACAAGTCTTTAGGGCTTATGCTGAGCCAAGCAGGTTGCTTCCCTCTGTTGTGTCCAGCAGAGGGGTCTGGGTATTTGTGGTACAGAATCAACAGTGCAGTCAGGTCTGGTGGCCTGTGCCCATAGTCTGCAGCAGGAGCTGAAGCAGGAGTGTATTAATAAGGCTAGCCTGGTCAATGTGGTGAGACACTTGTCTTTATTTTTTATTTATTTATTAATTTTTGTCTTTTTGAGACAGGGTCTCACTGTGGAGTTCAAACTGGCCTTGAGCTCACTTTGTAGCCCAGGCTGGTCTCGAACTCACAATGATCCTCCTGCCTCAGCCCCCGAGTGCTGGAATTACAGGCGTGTGCCACCACCCCCGGCTAAACACCTGTCTTTAAAAAAGAAAAAAAACCCAAATAACAACAACAAAGCAAAATTGTGCTGGAGATGTGGTTCAGTAGTAGAGCACTTGCCTAACACACACAAAGTTCTGTGTTCAAGCCCCAGAACCACAGAGGGAAAAAAGCAGCAACAGGGAAGGAACACATATAACCTCTTTTCTTCCACTTCATTCAGAGCCCTTTGAGTTGTAGTTTCTTTCTCATCTGTCAGATGCTGTACTAAAAATTGGGGTGAAGAAAAACTGTTTATTACAGGCTAATGTTTTAGTCCAACTTTTACAATCTAATTCACACTTCTGTCTGTAGTTTGAGTAAAAATCACCTGGGCCTCATTTTCAGAAGTTTCTGTTTCTTGCATTTTGCAGCGAGCATTACCCCTTTGTTGGTACTCATGGCCCATGCAAAGCCCGGTTGCTCTTTCAGAATCTGTTTTATGCAGGTTTCCATCCCTGGGCACAGATTTCTATCCCTGCTATAGCTAGAAGGTGAGGTAACATATGTGTGGTTGAAATGGAAAGTCTTAAACAGGTTCACATCTGGTTTTTCCACTTACTAGGTATTTAATGTTGGGGAAATTAATCAGCTTTCTTAAACTTTTTTTTTTATCTGAGCGAATGACTATAAAATGATAGTTTTGACCTCACATGGTTACTGTGAGGGTTAAGTGAGATAATCATGTTCACATGTGCTTGGCACATAACAGGTGTGCAAAAAAGTGTTAGCTGTTGGTGGTAGCTGCACCATCAAGGATTACTGTTGAGCATTTGTGTCAGTGCTACTCACTGGAGCTCTAGTTTCTCTGCTGTGTTTGGAAGCAATATCATTCCCATTCAGCTTTACATACTGTACTCCAAACCGGTTGCCAGGTTTTCCCTCTGTGTCATTGGCCAACTGAATTAACAGATCTCTTTCCCCCTCCCCCCGCCCATTTTTTAGGGAGGAGAAGGGAAATAAATGCTATAGGAGGCTAGATGTTTAAAGCCTGTGTTTTGTTTGTTTGTTTGTTTTCTAAACTGCGAGTAGGCTCCGGTCTCTCTTTGGGTTAAAATTTGATTAAAATAATTGTATTGTGATCTGAAAAAAACTGAGATTATATCCTCTTAATATTTTCCTTTGTACGTCTTGGTGTAACAATTAAAATTATTTGATTTTGAAGCCATAATTGCAGCTTCCCCAGCCCTCCTTCTCTGTGGCCCTTCCCTTCCCTTGCTGGTTGGAACCAGCTGAGCTGATTTGGTTTTTCCCTTTTAGATATTGTTCTCCTCCTCCTTCCTTCACATTACCTCTTCGTTTCCCCTCCCTTTTCCATTTACTCTTACATTCCCTTGCTCCTCCTCACCCTCTGCTATTTTCCCTCTCCCCGTGTTCCTAGCTTCCTTTTGCTTTCTGTTTGTGTTACTGAGGGCAGTGCTCCAATTACCTCATATTTGGAGAGAGGAAGCTGCAGCCAATCCGGTTTCTGTCTGCTTTTAGGTCAAGTGATTTCTGAACTGCAGTGAGATGCTTTGAATTTGTCTTGTTGCAGCTCTGAGCCTGTAAGATGGCTGTCTGAATCGGCAGCGGCTGGAAGAGACAGAGAGGCAGGGAGGGAGGGAGAAAGAACTGGAGGGATTGCTGGCATAGTGCATGTTTTTAAATGTGCATCAGACCCGATGAAGCCAAGGCTGGCATTTTTCTGGGATCCCGGGACTGGTTTAGCTGCATTTTTGCTGGGATTAAGAGAGGAAAGAAATGGGAAATTCACTGGGCTGTGTTAAGGAGCCGAAAGAGTCAATAGCTATTTCAGAGAAGGCTCCCATATCTCCTAAGAAAAGGGTTCGGCTCAAAAAGAAGTGGAAGGGGAAGAAAATCCCTACTCTGCGGGCATCTCACAAGAAAGAACCCTTGGACGGAGCTGGAGTCACTGAAGAGACTGAAACCCCAAGGAAGTTAACAGTGAGTCTCCAGCAGGAGGACCGAGTGGGAGGGGCGGAGCATCCCCCCTCAGACATTTTGCTGCCTGGGGACTCAGCCCAGAACTCACAGGTGGGTGACTGCGGAATGATTGTGCAGGTGAAAGAGAGATTCCAAGGGGAGATTCAGACTGCCCACCTTTTGTTAGAGAATGAGGCATCCGTTGCTGGAGAGGTCTGGGATTCCCTGGAAGAGGGGATGACTGTCATTGCTCACCTGCTCGATAACCCGGCAGAGAGGAACTGTGAGCGATCAGTGAGCCAACTGGTGGAATTTCCACGGACAGCGTCCTGCAGCAGTAGGGCCGTGCTGCTGCCTTTGCAAGGAGAAACTGCAGTGGCAAGGGGAGGTGTTCAGCTTGGATTTCGGTGTAGCACTTCGCCTGGGAGAGACTACCCCAGTGACACAAGAAATCAGGACCAACTTTCAGAAGGCTGGAGTATCGGGGAAGGAACCAATAGTTTTTTGAGAGCCCCTCAGACGGGTTCCCAGACTGCCCAAAGTTCTGTTCCTTCATCGCTGCTGGGCCAGTCAGCAGGCTCTAGATGCACAGATACTGCCCAGGTGGGTCAAGTGACCCCTCTGGGCCCCAGATTACCTCCTTCTCAGAGTGATTTGTCCATGACTGTGAGTGTTTTGCCCTCATCCTCTGGCTATGGCAGTGATGGGCTGCACTTACATGGGATCCAGCCTAAATGTGCAGAACCTGAGAAGAGCTCTACATCCTTCTCAGAAGAGGATGGCACTCTTTCTTTGGAGGTCAGCCACACGCCCTCGTGGGGTCTGGAGGAGGTAGGTGGGCATGCTCAAAGCCAGTCTAACCACTACTTGGATTCTTGGCCCTCCAGCCTATTAAAATGGATTGTGGTAAGCAGTGAGAATCCTGAAGCTCTTCAGATCTCCCCACACCCCCCGGACCATACTGACTGCTGAGGCTTGGCAAGCAGAATCTATTTCAGGCCCATCCCTCAACACTTGCAACCAAGTCTTGTTGTCTCTGAGGAATTTGTGCTTCTGGGTAGCCAGATGGCATAATTGCTGGAGCTGTCCAGCAGGGTTGACTCTCAAGGTGCAGCACTACCCAGTCCTTACTCTCAGGTAGGGCTGTTTACCTGCCTTCTTGCTGTAAGAAGTTGTGATGAAGCGCAGTGGGGGAGTCCCTGAAGTGAGTGTGGAAGGCTGAGGGATGGTGATGGGATGGAGGTAAGGTAGCTGTTTTCAGTGTGCTTGCCCTTCTCCCTAGAGAGCTGAGCTCCTGCTACAGCTGATGTAATCCCTCTCCTGTGGAGAAAAGGCTAATAACAGCACTCATTTTGTGTCTCTATGGGAGGAGAGGGCTTGTCCTCCTTTGCTTTGCAGGATTAAGGCCACAGAATTGTGGCGGGGTGGGAATAAGGCAGAAAATGTTTGGCTTTTTGAGACAGGGTCTTGTTATATAGACCAAGCTGGTCTTGAACTCGCTATGTAGCCCATAGTGGTCTTGAACCTGCAGCAGTCCTTTTGCCTCAGCGTCTCAAGTGCTGGGATTACAGATATGAGCCACCATGCCTGGCTTGAAAAAGTTTTTGAAGTTGTTTGAGGTTTTAACATGTTTCACATGTTTTGCTTGTGAGGTTTGTGGTGAGACATAAATGGTGGTTTTGGTTGTTATGAATGTTTCCAAGGCTCAAGAATCAATGAGAATTCAGAGATGTGGATGATGATCAGCAGGACCCTGATGGCATAATGCCTAGCACATGGACATTTGAGTGTGTGGAGGACTGACCCCTGGCTGAAGACCTTTTATTGGCATCATGGCTTCTGCTTAGGATCTCAGAGCAGCAAAAAAGTGGGGTGGAAAATGAAGTGGGGCACTTTGTTGGCTAGGCTGTGGGCAACTGATACTACCTAGCTGTCCTGATGTGCTGCTGATCTGTGATTTAAAAATGTCCCCAAGGGTGGGCATCTCAGTGCACTCTGTGGGGAGTTTGGAGACTCCTAACAGTGCGAAGAGAAGATAGCATTGAAAAAGTATGTCATATGGATGGCAAGAGGCTCCACAGGCCTCATAAAAATGTGTGTATGTGCACGTGTATGTTAGGTAGCAAGGAGGACAATAAGGCTGCTGGGATCGGGTGTGCAGTATTTGGGGTTCAATAGCTAGGAGGGATGGCAGTCAGTTTTTATCTTTGAAGGGAGTAGATGTTGAGCAGTTGGATGTAACCAGCTGCTGAGCTTGGTTTCTCTTTTAATACTGCTGCCGTTAAAGTTGATACTGTGGAGTTATAACAGTATTATAGGGGAGCTGCTCATAATTGAATGTGGGATTTTTAGAAAGTTTATTTTGAAAATTTTTAGGAACACTTGGTGGAAATCAGCCTTACATAGTGGACTGTAGGTAACAGTAGCACTTTTGTACCAGTTGGATCTCCATACTGAGAAAGAAGATTATATACAACTCTTTGAGTTTTGTTTTGTTTTGTTTTGTTTTTGTTTTGTTTTGTTTTGTTTTGTTTTGTTTTGTTTTGTTTTGTTTTGAGACAGTGTCTCTCTGTGTACTTAAGGCTGACCTCAAACTCATGGCAGTCCTCCTGCCTCAGCCTCCTGAGTGCTGTGATTACAGGCCTGTACCACCGTGCCCAACCTCTGAGGAGTTTTTAAAGAGTTTTTGGGAGAATGCTTTGGATCACAGTCTGGTTGACAGAGTGAGTAGCAGTGTGACTCTTTCGCTGTTCAGCATGTGAGTCCAGTTGGTATGTGACATTTTCTGGGCAACCACCCTCTGCAACCAGCCCTCCACTTCTTCACTGAGGTACAGCCAGACTAAGATGCAGAAAAGGCTAAAGAACCGAGTGACAGTATCTCTGTAGATACCTGTGTTTCTGAAGTTCTGTGTTCATCATATGATGTGGGGACCATAGACTGACCATCCTTTGTGACGTAAGGCACTTTTTAGCATAAGCGTGAAATCTTTTCAGAACCAGTGTCCGTGTCCTTAAAGCCAAGAGGCTGGAACCTCATAGTCTGTGGAGGAAGTGTGTCTTTAGGAAACTGCTCATCTCACTGGCAGCCTATTCACAGGCTCCAGAGCAGCAACAGCCAGAGAGACAGAGGGGATTCTGACCCTGTAGGCTGTTGACCCTGCAGGCTGTATAACTGTGGATGGAGGCTCAAAGCAAGTGTCTGAAACATGGGAGGACACGGTCAGAGGAGCAGCTGTGGCCGTCATGCGCCAGCACCTTTCTAAATAAGTTTGTGCAGCTCAGTAGTGTTTGATTTGTTGTGTTTGTTTGCTTCTTTGGGGGTTTGTTTTGTTTTTAATGTGTCAGCACAGTGACCCTTCTCACAAAACAATTTAAGCTGCAGTGATATCTGTCTGTGGTGTGACGCAGACCACATTCTCTGTCCTGTTGATTAGTCCAGGGTGATGATGGGAGTGGGACTAGGCTAGGGCGAGACATGAACTTCATGGTGGGTTTTGCTACATGTCAGGATATCAAGAAATGGGAGCTGATTCTTGCTGCCTGTGAGGCTTAGATAATAGAAGGTGTATGTCATCTGCTTTCCTGTTCACCCGATGCAGTTAATACTTCCCTAGTCGGAAAATAGTTAATACAGAAGCAGGATGACAGAGAGCAGCTGACAAAATGGTTTTCAGAATGATAAGTCGACTAGGATTTGGAGCTAGATGGAAACAGGCTGATAGCCTGATAGTCTTCTGTGGCCATTTCCTTCTGTGAGGAATTCTTACTCCTTAACACCTGGTTCATTTGAACAAGGAAAATTGTTGAAAATTCTATCTTCCCGTCTTGGCTCCCACCACCCACGTTGTTAGTAGATCCCATTGAATGAAGAATTTGACTCTGTACCACTGTCTTGCCATATACCTTGGGATCCCTACAACTTCCAGTGAGTAGACAGGCAATGCTAGGGGCTAGAAATGATGAGAAAGAGATCACTTGATATATTGTTTTCTGGGCTCAGGCTTTTCAGGTTACAACCGTCCCTTTCCCATTTGTCCTTCTTAATTATAGAAAAGCCAAGTGCAGTGGCACACACATGTAATCCCAGCTATTTGGGAAACTGAGGCAAGAGGATCACAAGTTTGAGCCCAGCCTGGGTAGCTTAGTGAGACTTATCTCAAAATAAAAAGTAAAAGGGGCTGGGGATGTAGCTCAGTGCAGAGGCCCTGGTTTCAATTCCCAGTCTTACCCACTCCTCACAACAACACATGGGTGCCGGTGGTGCACAGTCACAATCCCAACATTCAGGAGGCTGAGGCAGAAGAGGACTGACATGAGTTTGAGGCCATCCTGGGCTATGTAATAAGTTCAAGGCCAGCCTGGAGTATATAGCAAGACTCTGTCATAAAAAAAAAGTTAAAAATTCATATAGATAGTATTTTTTAAAGTATTATTTTACTAATACTGGTTTTGAATTGTAAAAAAACCAAGCAAAACTAGGTAGATGATACTAGAAGAGTGCAGAAGTTAAAAGTTATGGCTAGAGCCTTGTTCAAGAATGGCTTATTCCTTTTTTAAAACATGTTACTTAACAACATTGCTAAAGAATCACTATTTTTAAAGCCAGGTGTGGTGATGCACACCTGTAATCTCAGCACTTGGGAGGCTGAGGCAGGAGCATCATTGAAAATTCAAGACCAGCCTGGGCTACAAAATGAGCTCAAGGCCAGCCTGAACTGCATAGTGAGACCCTGTCTCAAAAAGGCAAAAAAAAACCCCCAAAACCAAAAACCACTATTCTTTAGATGTAACTAAGCCAGGTATGATAGCACATGCCTATAATCTTAGCACTCAGGAGGCTGAGGCAGAATTGTTGCAAATTTGAGACCAATCTGGGCTACAAAATGAGCTCAAGGCCAGCCTGAACTGCATAGCAAGACCCTGTCTTGAAAAGACCTCCCCCCCACAGAATAAACCCAAACAATAAATAGATGTAACAGTGTTATGGTGATATTAGAAACAGTCCTTATCTTTTAGAGATTTAGAGATAGCTGCTGCAATGTTTATAGAGGGACAGTGTGTGTAGGATTTGCTTCATATAGGGGAGGGGTGGAGCGGGGGAGAGTGGATGAAACAAAATAGTCATACATGGGTAATGGTGGAAGCTGGGTGAAGGCTACAGGGGGCATATTAGCCTATCTGGTCTCATCTATATGAAAGTCTCCATTCAGGTAGGACAGTAAGAATAAAACTGCAAAAATAAAATGAAAAGTTAGAAAAAGTAAATTGTGTATAAATTTAATAATGGTAAAGTTATTAATGCATATACTGACTGAAGAGGGGTTGGTATTTGAGTACATGTGAAATGTTACACAGGTGAAGTGGTTAGGAATGTGGAGCTGGATTGGCTTGATGTCTTTTATTTATTTATTTTTATTTATTTATTTTTTGGCACCAGGAATTGAACTCAGGAACCTTGTGCTTGCCACTGAGCTATATTCCTGGCCCCTGGACTGGCTTGATTTGGATTCTAGTTCTTCCACTTACTACCAGTACACCTTGGACAAATTACCTAATTCTTTGTGACATAATGTAATCATTTGTAAATTGAGGATGAGAATAGTATATATATACCTTGCAGGGTTGTTGTGAGAATTATACGACATAGTCTTACAGAAAAATAGGAGAAAGCCCAGGACCATGCAGTTCACAAATAAAATCAAAATGTCTCGTACTGTAAGATGGCTCTTAACTACTGATGAAGGATATAAAAATTAAAACAGTAACATACAAATACCCAACAGACTGACAGACAGTAAAAAGTCTGAAAATACTCAGGGTAGGCAAAGATGTACGGTGATGGGAAAACCTTTTCATAGCCTTTGGGTGGAAGTATAAATTGGTACTGTGATTTGGAGAGAAATTTGACAACATTTAATGGAATGGAAAAATGCCCATACCGTATGACCTAGACTTTCTGTGCTAGGTATAGACTCTTGTGAGATCTTCAAGACTC